TCTTCCTTTTACTCACAGAAAACCTTTGATTTTCGTGACACTTTCACAGGAAATTTAAACATAAGCTGACGAAATATCCACATCATTAATTTTTTAAAAGGCCACACAAATATTAGTGAACAGCAGGGGTGTCTGCGAATAATAAAACTATTAAGAAAAAACAAACTCTTCATGTCAGCTGTGGTTAGGTTTTAAAAGCTGTCAAATTTATGGGGAAAAATGGTTGGGTTTTCAAATTTTTCAGATTCTGAGATTTTGGACTTAACATAATGGGTTTATCCTGTTGAATTTAGAATTTCTCAAACACTTTGCAACTATCAAAAATGTTGAGGTAACCACATAAAAGCATCACTTCCACATCTGCATATATTATACACATTTGTTAGATAATCCTGGAAGTAAAATTTTTGGGTCAAAGGATGAGCATTTTGTTCTTTTAAACAAAAAAAAGATCTACTTTTAAAAAGAATTTATTTCAAAGGCAGAGTCACAGAGACAGGAGAGGAGAGAGATCCTCCATCCACTGGTTTACTTCCCAAGTGACTACCACAGCGGAGGCCGGGCCAGGCCTAAGGCAGGAGTTAGGAGCTTACTCCAGGTCTCTCACATGGGTATAGGGGATCACACCCTCGGGTCATCTTCCATTGCTTTTTCAGGAGCATTAGCAGGGAGCTGGATCCAAAGTGGAGCAGTCAGGGCTCAACACGGGCATTCATATGGGATGCTGGCACTTTAGGCTGTGGCTCAGCTTGTGGTGCCACAGCACTGGTCCCCAGGATGTGTGTTTTAATTTTGATATTGTCAATCCCATCAGTAATGTGTAAGAACAGTCATTTCTCCACATCTATGCCAACACAAAATTTTATGAAATTTTTTCCTTTTATTTTAGAGTTTCAAACTTAAAAATTGTTTCAAGAGAAATCTTTTTTTTTATTGAGCCATTTGAAAATGAATAACTGAATCCCATCACTCTTGAATACTGCAAAATATACTTCTAACAGACACTGTTTCACAATGTTGGCTCCAACACTATTTTTTCATATTTACAACACAACCATCAAAATCATGAAATTAACAGTGATACGTAGTATTTATACCACAAACTCCTTCAGAGTTCCACCAATTGTGCCAGTAATGTCCTTTATTTCATATGAGATCATTCAGAGTTGCATTTATTTTTTCACGCCTCTTTAAGTCTTCCTGAAACCGGAAAACTTGACATTCATGTCTTGACACTTTTGCAGACTAGTTATTTTATAATATATAATTAATGATCAGTATGCCTGCGGTTAATTCATGATTAGATGTAGGTTTATATTTTTGGTTGCAATGTCACAAAATTAATGCTGAATTTATATTGTTCTCTAATTGCTGATGATTTTTATTTGCCATTATTGATTACTGTGATCACTAAAGTGATGTCTGTCTTCTTTTTCTATTGTAAAAAAATACATTTTCCTATAACAATTGATAAGTACTTTGTGGAGAGATGTTTCAACAGAATGTTAGTATCCCATTCCTTATCAATTGTCAATCCATTCATATTCTATAGTTGAATTAAGTCTTACATGGTTGTCAAAAGTTCTATTATCAACCATCGTTCCTACCACACTTACCAGCTGGTATTCAACTCCACTTATTTTTTTAGTTAAAAATTCACAGATGCCTATAAAAATTGAACTCAGTGAATCCTAATCAATGGGCTATCCTTATTTTATTGCATTTATTGGGGTGTAACAGATGTAAAATAATCAGGATACATATATATATATTTGGTAACACAATTTGATACAGTTTTTTGGACAGGATCCAATTTTGACTTATGTATATGCCCAAAAAAGCATCACCACAACCTTGGTGATGAATGTATGTGTCATTCCACTGGTGACCTCTGTAACAAAGTCTTCCCTTTCATTCTAATCTGCTTCAGTTTCTATTCCTAGAGCATCACACTACAGTATACAGCTCCTAGAATTTTATAGAAATGGAATCATACAACATGTACTGTGCTTCTCTGATCTGGCTTATCTTATTTGGGATAATTAGAGATTCACCCAGGTATACTGTGCTCTTATTGCTAAAAAATATTCCTTTGAATAATGATATTATAGCTTGTTTATCCCTTACATTTAGATGGCCATAAAGATTGCTTCCAGTTTTTTATTAGTAAGAATGTAGGGGCTGGTGTGGTGGCTCAACCAGCTAATCCTTTGTCTGTAGCACTGGCATCCCATATGGGTACCATTTCTAGTTTCAGCTGCTCCAATCCAACCCAGCTCCCTGCTGATGGCCCAATGAAAAAGCAGAGGATGGCGCAAGGCCTTGGGCCCCTACAGCTAGGGGGAAGACCCAAAAGAAGCTCCTGGGCCCTGGTTTTGGCCTGGCTCAGCCTTGGCTGTTGCAGCTATTCAACCAGTGGATGGATGATGTCTTTCTGTAACTCTTTCAAAGTAAGTAAATGAATCTTTAAAAGTATAAGGGTGTTATGAATAAACATCCTCAAGTCTTTGTATGTACATGTGCTGTGAATTTTTTTTTGGTGGAGTTAAATGACTAGATCATATGTGTAGGTATCTTTTGAAGAAACTAAATGACTTCCCAGGGGCTGTGCCATTTACATTACCACCAGCAGGTATCAGAACTCCAGTTGGTTTACATCCTTGCCAACCCTTGCTACAGTCAGGTTTTTCATATCTGAAACTTTAGCAATTTTCTCACTGTGTTTTAATTGCCTTTCTCTAAGGACTGGTGATATTGGGCATCTTTTCATTTTCTTAATTTCAACCAAATGTCTGCTCAGCTCTTTGTCCATAAAAAAAAAAAAAGATTGTTCGGTTTCTCATTTCTGAGTTTCAGAGTTCTTTATGCATTTTGGAAGCATATGACTTGTAAATATTTTTTCCGGTCTCTAGCTCATGTTTTCATTTTCAACAATGATTTTCACAAAGTATAAATTCTTAATTTTGACAAGTCTTATTTATCAATTTTCCTTGTGTAAATTGTGCTTCTAGTGTTAAGAAACCTTTTCCAACTCAAATTTAAAATGATTTTGTCTGTGTTGTCTTCTAAAAGTCTTTATGACTTCACATTGGCGTTCTTGATCCAGTATAAGTCATTTTTTAAACATATGGATCATCTTTTGTTGAAAAGACAATCCATTTTCTCATCTAAACTGGCTTTGGGTCTTTATCAAAATACATATGGGAAAGTCTATTTTGGTACTATGCCCTTTGCCTATGTTTGTAATAAGTTACATAGTACGGATTACCCTAACTTTTAATTTTTCTACCTAATTCCATTTTGCTTAACTATTTATTTTTCATGACGTAGTTCCATAGGTTCAGGGATATCGCTCTCACTCTCCCCTTCCTCCCTGCCCCCTTATTACCATAGCTTTATTATCAATCTCAGAATCAGGCAGTACTAGAATTCTGGCTTTACTCTTCTTTTGCAAAGTTGTTTTTGGTTATTCTAGTCTGTTGTTACTATATTATGATTTTCTACCCAAAAAGTCTGTTGAGATGACACTGAAGCTATAGGTCGATTTGCAGAGAACCAATATCTCAAAACCGAGTATGTCAATCCACAAACACAGTTATGCCTTTTCCTTTATTCATGTCTTTAAATCTTCTCGGCAAGGCTTTATTTTTATTTTTTTATTTTTAAATTTCTATTTATTCTTATTGGGAAGTCAGATTTACAGAGAGAAGGAGAGACAGAGAGGAAGATCTTCTGTCCGATGGTTCACTCCCCAAATGGCCACAATGGCTGGAACTGAGCCAATTCAAAGTTAGGAGCCAGGAGCTTCCTCCTGGTCTCCCACATGGGTGCAGGGTCCCAAGGCTTTGGGCTGTCCTCGACTGCTTTCCCAGGCCACAAGCAGGTAGCTGGATGGGAAGTGGAGCTGCCGGGATTAGAACTGGTGCCCATATGAGATCCTGGTGTGTTCAAGGTGAGGACTTTAGCTGCTAGGCCACAGTGTCGGGCCCAATTTTTCTGTGAAATATCTAATCATTTCTTTGTTAATAATCTTGACATAGATTTGTCTGTATTTTTTATTACCCTCTCTACAATGAGTATGCATTTTCTCATAATGCTAACATAACATAAAGTTATTTTAAAAAAAGATTTATTTACTTTTATTGGAAAAGCAGATTCACAGAAAGAAGGAGAAACAGATCTTCCATCTGCTGGTTCACTCTCCAAATGGACGCAATGACTGGGGATGAGCTGATCTGAAGCCAGGTGCCAGGAGCCTCCTCTGGGTCTCCCATATCTGTGCAGGGTCCAAAGGCTTTGGGCCATCCTCTGCTTTCCCAGGCTGTAAGCAGAGAGCTGGATGGGACACAAACTAGTGCTCATATGGGATCCCAGTGCTTGCAAGGGGGAGATTTTAAGATAAAAATCTTTTTCAAAAATCCATGTAGTTATCTGGTACAAAATACACAAGAATCCACAGTAGCTAGTATTTTACGATAGCTCACCATACAGAGGTTTATTTTCTTGTTTTAATTTTTTCGTAGGGATACTTGTATAGTTAACAGGATGCATATAAAATTGAAGAACCAAGAATCAGTCTGTATTGCATTTTTTTCTGGAGGAATTGCAAGCTCTCGCATCTATCAGAGGTTCACTTTACAGGATCTTTCAAAGGTCCTGGGAGGCTGACAGGTCAACGACAATGATCCTTAACTTGCAGACTTTGCAATTAAGACTCACAAAGGTAAAGTTATCACATGGACCTTTATCATACGGAAGGTTATATTTAGAAATCATTTAAAAACCCATCTAATTCTATATATTCATTGTCCTGTAACCTGTCATTAGGGTGAGGTTTTGGCTTGGCGACAAGTGCTCTTTCTAGTGACAGAATCAACGTGAGGGTCTTTCCCCATCACTCTGAACGGCTGAGGAAGAGCCAACAGCGTGCTTCCTGAGACTGCAGTCTTCTTTTTGGGCGGCCATGGGTGGGCAGGAGCTTGAGGTCTATCCATACTCACCTTTGGCAGCAGTCAGCATGGTGGAAGCTAGTTCACACTGCTGCGATTCCAAATGTCCAAGAGTGAACCAGCGAGGATAACGGCTGGGCACCACAGACACCATTTGGTGAGGGTGAGAAGTGTCACCTGCAGCAGCAGAGTTTTCTAGAACAGGTAACCTAGAAGATGCAGGAAGAGTTATCAGTCACAGTTGAGACCTGGACATTCTGAGCCACCTTGGAGAAGTATATTCTGGGCAGGAATTGGGGAAGAAAAAGTAAGCGTTTTGAAACTGTTTAGACCATTCTTATATACTACACAAGGTGAGTTAAAGGCACTTGCAGAACTCCTGGTGAACAGGCCCCGCTGCAAAACAGTTTAAAATGAGGCTTGAGCCATAGAGTCATTTATTTTGTAAAGAATATATGAAATACTTGTTTTGGCTGAGGAGTTTCTCTCAGCTTTATCATCTAACTATAATTCTTCTGTCTGGTGTGTGTATATCCAGGAGTTCTACCTGCCCTTTTTAGTTTGGAAGCAAGATGTCCAAAGCTGAAGTCCTGGGGTAAACATATTTATCTCTGCTACACTCAAATTCCTCTGGGGATCCGTGCCTGAGAACCATGACTCAGCTGAGCTACGGAAGAGCTCGAACACTTCTCATGCTGCCTCAGTGGTCCCGTGGAAGGGAGACTCAGGCCCTGGGTGCTCTGTACTGATGAACATCTCAGTGGTTCCTTAAATAATCTACAAGTATGGGCAGAGAGACAAGAAGTCCATAACAAGAAATCCCATGACCAGAGTCATTCTAAAGTAGCCTGGGTGGCAGGCCACAGAAACAACAGAGGAAACAGGTGAAAGTTGAAGCAAAGAATAAAAGAGCACTGGAGACTTCCTGTTGGTAGAGGCAGGTAGACGGGGGAAGGACTACCTACCTCATAGCACGTAAGGCTAACTTATAGGACAGGTCCGGGTCATGAGGCAGCAGAGCGGAGAACAAGTACTTGGCAAAGGTATGCATGGGAACACTCTCTCGGTGGATCACTTCTCCCAGACCACTGAAAGGGCCTCCTGCAGCAAAAAGATAAGCTGGCCAGTTATTTATCAGTCTGCTTCCACTTATCAGCCTGGAGATGAGAGCCCCAGGGTACTACATGTGTCTGCTAGTTGTAGAAATGTTCACTATACTTTTGTAAACATTCCCATGGCCATTCACTATTAAAGAGTGAGCCCAGGAACAGGCACTTGGCCTATCAGGTTAAGATGCCAGTTAGGATGCCTCCTTTTTATACTGAAGAACATGGCTTTGGATTCTGGCTCTGAATCCAAAGGTTTCTTGTTTATGCAGGCTCTGGGAGGCATCAGGAATGGCTCCAGTATTTAGGTTCCTGCCACTTGTTGGGAACACCTGGATGACGCTCCCCCCTTGCCTCCTCCCACTGGGCACTGTGAACATTTGTGGAGTGAACGAGCCAATGGGAGCTCTGTTATTCTTCCTCTCTTTCAAATAATTTTTATCTTTATAACAGAGCACAAGGCCACAAATCAGAGGTCTCTTCTCTAGTTACCTTCCAGCAGTAAGATGCACTGCTTCCTCAGTGTTTGTACCAGTTCATCATCCAGTTGCAGTTCCTGGAGTTGGCTCAGGAGCTGTTCCTCATTACGGCACACCTTGTCCTGTGCATACAGGCCTTCAGGCATGACTCTCTGTTGACCCATACCCATAAGAGCAACTTCCAGGGCCAATGACAAATAGGACTCACTGCTGTTTGAGCAGCCCGTAGCTACTGATACATGCTGGTATATAGGGAGTCTGCTTTCATTCATATCTGAGGGCAACAGGTCAATAGTTAGCACAAGTGGAAGTGGAGTCAGGTCGGTAGAGCATTAAGGAAAATATACTGGAAAAAGTAACACAGAGTCACAAAAATTCCTACCTTCTTCTTAATACAGGAGCTGGCTAGGCTAGTAGGGGAAATCTTATACTTATCTTTTGCTAGTACATGCCATAGCTATCTGATTTTTGTCTGTTTCTTTCCCTAGGGTGTGAACACCCCCAAGGGTGGGGAATCTTTCTTCTGTAAAGGGCCATTTAGATATTTATAACATTAATCATGGGTGGGATAAGGTCATCAACTTAAAAATTAACCTGCTATAAATAGTCAGAATTTGCCTTGGTAGGGCCAGACCAAATGATTTTGGAGGCCTTGCATGACTTGCAGGCCAGATGTTCCCCACTCCAGCAAGGGATGAGATGATTTTATTCCTCTAGATATCTCCCAAACCTGGCGTATGGGAGGAGCTAAGTGCAGCTCAGTTCTGAGCAAATAAACCTCAGGTGTTCCAGATGTAAAGGTCCCTGTGCAGTGAAATAGACCAAATATGCCTGTTTCCTCTGCAGGGGATGACAGGAAAGACACAGGTACCTCCACCTTGTTTGGCAGTCAACCTTTGTTTCTCTACCCAGAGAAATCTGAATCCATTTGGCTGAACTCTTACTTTTTGAATACTTGCAACGTCTACTATGTACATCCTGTCACCGAGTTTACCCTTCAACCATCTTTAAGTATTTATGGAGGAAGACTATTAAATGGCAGGTGATATGTTGATAGGAACACAGAGATAGGTAAGTCAAAATTTCTGCTTGGTAATAGACAACAGGGTAGTCAGAGGTATTTATTTGTTGCAAAGCTTAATACAGTGTGTTAAATAGTAAAGCAGATGCATTTATATGATATAGTGATATCACTGAGAACAGAATAAATTGCTTCTATTTTGTTCTGGCTATTTCGAGACTCTATTATATTACTAAAGTCTATCACTCATTTGTAAAATTGGTACAAAACTATGATATGGGAAAAAAGTTCAAAGGAAACCAGAAAATATTATGTAATTCCAAAGGACACACAGAATCTTGGTGGGTACAAGTTCTCTCTTGCTTCTGAACTACTCTAACGCATTGGCCTCTGATTCCTGAAATTCTTCTATCTTGTCTTAATCCCCTTGAACTACATTCTTCAGTTATTCATGGTAGGGATCTGAGTATGGCAAACTAAAATTTGAAAGCAGGAAAGGGCTGGCCTACAAGGTAGGAAAGTAAAGTTGGAAAGACAGGAAGCTTAAGCAAATGTCTCAGGGATAGCCCAGTTGTACAACAGGTTTAAAAAAGGCACAGGATTTTGGGCTGGTGTGGTGGCAGAGCACACTAATCTACCTGCAGCACTGGCACCCCATATGGGTGCTGGCTCATGTCCCAGCTGCTCCATTTTTAAACTCTAGCTCCCTGCTTATTACTTGGCAAAGTAGCAGAGGATGGCCCAAGTTCTTGGGCTTCTGGACCCACATGGGAGACCCAGATGAAGCTCCTGGTTCTTGGCTTCAGATCGGTTTGGCTCTAGCCTGTTGAGGCAAGTGAACCAGCAGATGGAAGTCCTCTCTTTTTGTCTCTCCTTCTCTCTGTAAATCTGCTTTTCAAATAAAAACAAATAAATATATTTTAAAAAGGTAAGGAAGAGTAGAAGAGAAAATGGCAGGGAGAAGGGGGCTGCTCAGGGTAGAGCTAGGGTGTCTCCAGCTGACCCCTGTACCTGACACTTCCAGATAGCCATCAGCGTTCAGGCGGCAGGCCTCCGTCAAAGTGAGAAAAAGGCAGCCAATGGGATCCAGAGGGTGGCCTACCCAGCCCTCCAGGTTTGTGATGGTTGTAGTTCCTCTCTGCAACAGTTCTGGAAACAAGCAATCAGAGATTTAGAGAGCGACAGAGACACACTGCTCTTTCCCCGCCGGGGTCTCCTCATCAGACTCATCAATTCTAAAGCCAATGTTCCCTTGCTTTCTGAGGTTGATAGGAACAAGTTCAGTAACCAGTTATTTAAAGTCATTCTGTGGCTGACAGTAGTATAAAGTGCATACAACTTTACAGTTTAAATAGTCTTCTTAGGCCAGACCCTAGGGAGTATTCCAACTGCCTTGGGAGGGAGGCAGGCAGGTATCATTGTTCCTACTTTACAGATAAGAAAATTGGGACTCAGAGGGCCCAAGTTAGGCATTCTACACAGCGGATGAAATGTTTTTGAATTCCCACCTTTTGCCTACTATGATACTTAATTGAAAATTAGAATCTGGGCCTTGGATCCTCTGAGACTCCTCAACAGTCTTAGGCCTGAGGGGGTGGACAGTTCTTAGCCACCATACCTTTCTTCTGATGTTTGTAGATCTCCAGCTGCCGCTGCTGCTGCAACCTCAGCGTGTTAATAATGGCCACTGTGAGCCTGAGGGCCTCTTTAGGATAGCCATGGGATCGCAGGGCATCAACCCGAGCACAGGCTGTAGGCACATGCTCTGACAGATAAGACAAAAATATTTTGGTATGATTAAAATTTCAAATCAGGAAAACAGATGCACAACAGATGGGGTTTGTGGTCAGTCCAGTTCCTGAAATTTGGCACAGAAAGTTATGTTTTTATCTTTTAGGGATAAAAAAGTGAATCAGTCATAGATGCCACCTGGCAAGAGCTTCCTTGCAAACTTGGCATGGTGGGATGATAAAGAAAAGGGATTCCTACTCAATAGAACAAAATGTGAACATGTCTCTGGGAACCCAGTGGAGGTAACAAAGGGTTGCTTAAAAGGAAAAGCCTGTTCACTTATTAATCCTACATTTAGTGCAAACCTAGTATATGCCAGGTACTGTGCTGGACAAAAGGGGTAGAAAGATGAAAAAAAGAATAGTTACTTCCCTCAAAGAGCTTACGAATAATACGTGAACAGATAATTACAAAAACAATTAGGTAAGAAGTGAATGATAGAAATACAGAGAGAATAATATCTGAGCGGGGCTCGGAAAGGCAGGCAAGATTTTAAGTGGAAGGCAAACAGAAAAGATACTCCTGGCAAAGGGAACATGTAAGTAAATACAGATAAGTATAAACAACACATTAACTGTGATTATATTAACTTGGTACAATTAGAGTTAAGTTATGTGGTAGTCTGAAAAGTTAGAATAGAATGTAAAGACTTGATTATTTTATTATTATTATTTTTTTTACAATTTTAGTCATTTCTTTGAAAAAGATTGAGAGAGGGAGATTTCCCATCTGCTACTTCACTTCCCAAATGTCTACAATGGAAACCAAAACTCAGAACTCAATATGGGTCTCTAATCACCCTGTCTCCTATGGTTGGTGATAGCAGAAAGCTGGAGCCAAGGGCCACAGTCATTTTGAACCCAGGCATTCTGAAACGGAGCTCTGGTAAATTAGCAGGCTCTTAACTGCTCAGCTACACACCCACTGCTGGAACCCATTAGAGAGCTTAGAATACCAATCTAAGGAATTTCGATGTACCTTGGAGATAAAAGACTACCAAAAGTTTATAAATAGGTGAACAATTGTAACAAGCTTTATGGTTTATTCTGTGGTTTCTTTTAAAGAGAACATTAAAAGCTATAGAAATAATTGCATAAAATTTCAAAATAGATAAGAAAAATATAAAGATCAGATATAACCACTCTTTCCAATTTCACATATATTTATCCAGACTTTTCCATTGGGCCCAGGGTGATGGCTCAACTGGTTAATCCTCCCCTTGTAAATGGTGCATGGGTGCCAATTTGTATTCCATCCAGTTCCCTGCTTGTGGCATGGGAAAGCAGTCAAGGATGGCCCAAAGCCTTGGGACCTTGCACCTGCATTCGAGACCTGGAAGAAGCTCCTGGCTTTGGAATGGCTCAGCTTTGGCCGTTCACTTGGGAAGTGAATCAGCAGATGGAAGATCTTTAAGATATTTCTGTCTCTCCTTCTTTCTGTAAATCTGACTTTTCAATAAAAATAAATCTTAAAATAAGAGAGCAAGAGGGAGGTTGGACCTTATGGGAATAATTAGGACATTGGTGGCTCACTGCAAAAAAGGATAAGTGTAGTTGGTTTGTGTCAGGATGGTTTGCTATGTGGCAGCACCATGGTAATGTACGTTGGGCCTCTGCCTGCAATGCTGGCTTCCCAGGGTGTTGCGTTGAGTCCCAGCTGCTCTATTTCTGCTCCAGGTCCTTGCTAAAGTGCCTGGAAGGCATTAAATGCTGGCCCAAGTCACTGAGCCTTTGTATCCATGTGGGAGTCCTGGAAGAAGCTCCTGGCGAGCGAACCAGTGGATGGAAGACCTCTTCTCTGTCTCACTCTCCTCTTTCTGTAACTCTACCTTTCCAATAAATAGGGCTTAAAAAGGAAACCACATGGACAGTTTCAGACTCTACAAAATAAGGGGTGAGGGATGAAGAAAGGGAACTGGGAGAAGACAGTGAGAAATTTAAGTCATTTTCACTAAGACTTAGGAAAAAATATTAAAAATAGAATATCTTTTGGAATGGGCATCCTATGGTGAAGCCAAGGTAAAGTGATTGAGAGGCAGCAGGAAACTGTTTCAGAGTTTAAGCTCTTGATGGAATGGATCCGTCCTATTATTATGGATAGTAGGAAGATGAGAAGAAGGATAAGAAGATAGTTTGGTGACATACAGTTGTGTCCTGGCTATTAGTACAGAGTAGTTCAAATGTCAAACTTAGTATTTTTAAAGCAGAATATATCATTTCAGAATGAAATATAATATTGCACACAGTCAGTGCTGATTGAGAGAGCCTGTGAACTGATGAGTAGAGGCTTGTTGGCACTCTACAAGATGCAGTAATTGCCTTCCCCTAGCAAAGCTAGGCAGACAGGACATGGATTCCTACTCAAGATTACTATACCTCAGCCGAGAACATCTGAATAAATATCCTGTATCCCTTTAAAGGTACAAAACATCTATGTGAAATCTGTCAGTCTGCAGCTGGTGTTGCTAGGACCTATGCAGAGGCTCAGGGCTAAGCCGGGTACAAGACCGGATTCTGACACCATCCATAACTTACCAAGCCACAGTGGCTGGCCTTGAGAATTGAAGAGTAGTCTCTCACTTTCCTGCTGGCAGATAGGAGCTGTGTATATATCACTGTTGATTATTCGTTGTAGGTGGCTGTCCTGCCAATGTAATTCACGGCCCTCAATGGCTCTAGTGAACACTGTTCTTCTTGGTCTGGATAAAGAGTCTGAGGAAAGGAAAAAATACAGCCATACAGTGATGGGTAATTGGAAGTATCAATCTCTGGGTCATCTTCAAGGAGCGAGGTTGGACAGAAGAACAATACATGGGCATGAGAGCAACTGGCCAAGTGTCTGTTATGCTGTCTGTCGGCCTCTTCTTGGATAAGCTTTTATTTAAAAACAAACAACAAAACAGACTTTATTTATTTATTTACAAAGCAGAGTAACACAGAGAAGGGAAGGCACAGCAAGAGATTTTCCATCTGTTGGCCTCTCCCTACCCCCAGATGGCAGCAGCAGCCAGGGCTGAACTAAGCTTAAGCCAGGATCCAGGAACCCCATTTGGATTTCTCATATGGATGGCAGGGACCCAAGTACTTGAGCCATCTTCTGCTACCTTCCCATGTGCATAACCAGGAAGGTGGTTTGGAAGCAGAGTAGCCAGGACTTGAGCAAATATTCGAAAATACTATTCTGGCATTACAAGTGGTGGCTTAATCCTCTAAGATGTAACATCAGCCTTTGAATAAGCTTTTACTGTGTCTATGCTGTCTACAGGAAAAATCTTTCTACATAGATCCGTGGCTGCCTTCTTCCTTCTACAGAAGAGCAATTTTTCCCAGGACCCAGAGTTACATGGAAGGTAGGAGAGGCAGTGGTGCCCATGTGCTCAATCATGATAATATATAACGCTTCTAAAGAGGTCTGAAGTAGACAGAAATAGCTTCATAATTCCCCTGGCAAATTCATACCTTACTTCATTTATAGCCTCATACTTTTCAGATGAAGTGTTTTAAAGACTTCCACAAAATTCATATTAAAGGCCGAAAAAGAACTGAAGCCCTGTATGTTCTGGGTGCTACTATCTTATACAGAAAAGTCTCTGATAAGGTAACGTTTGAAGAAAGATTTGTTTGTGCTGAGGGCTGAGCCTTAAGGATAATTAAGAAGCAGGAGGAAATGCCATGTCCCGGAGTAGGAGTCTATCTGGAATGTTGGAAGACAGTGCGGAGGGCCAGTAAGAGTAAGCAAGAGTGGAGCCAGATACCAGAGGGCCAGATCATGGAAGACTTGGAGGCCATGAGTAAAAGGTGAGTTTGAGTAAGAAGAGAAACTACTGGAGGGCTGTGAAAGACTATGATAATATTTGCATTTCAAAGAGATAACTCTGGCTACGGTACTGAGAATAGATTATAAGTGGAAAGACAGAAGCAGGAGGAGTTATGTGGGTACTGCAATCATTCATGAGAGATGACAGTAGCTGGCCAAAGTAGCTACGTGGTGGAGATGATAAATGGTTGGATTTTTGGATGTATTCTGGAGGTAAATACCATCTAGGATTTGTTCATTGATTAGATATGGAATGAAAAAGAAAGAGGATGAGGAGTCTGCTAATTTTTAAAAGCATTTATTTATTTGAGAGGCAGATCAGTAGAGAGAGAGAGAAGGAGGATGGGGAAGGAGGAAGAGAGAGGAAAGAAAAGAGGGAGGAAATGGAGGGAGGGAGAGGAAGTCAGGGAGAGAGAAGGGAGGGAAAGAGAGAGAGAGAGAGAGAGAGAGAGAGAGAGAGAGAGAGAGAGAATGAATCTTCATGTACTGAATCGTTCCTCAGTTATAATAGCCAGGTTCAGCCAGGTTGAAGCAAGGAGCCAGGAATTCCATGCTGGTCTCTCACATGGATGGCAGGTGTCCAAGCACATGGGTCATCTACTGTCTTTCTGGGCATATTTACAGGAAGCTATATCAGAAGTGAATGAGCCAGGACTCAAATTGGCACTCCAGTATAGGATGGTAGCCTTACAAGTTATGGCTTAACCCACTGTCTCCCTGTGCCAGACAGAGTTGCCATCTATAGAGATAGGAAAGCCTGCAGGAATACTAAATTTGGGTGGAGCTTGAGAGTAAGAAATTCTACTGAGATCCTTATTAGTATAAATAAGTGAAACTTTGAAAAGGAAGTTATATGCACAAGAATGGAGGTAAGAAGAAAGATTTGAGCAGAATATATACATTTGGGAGTTGTTAGCACACAAATGATTATTGAAATAACTGAATCACCACAGGAGTATGGAAGGAGTCTCTGTCTGATGACAGAACCATGGCCATCATAATAGAGAAGTAGAGAAGAGATGGTAGATTGGAAAACCAAGAGAAGAGTATCTTGGAAATCAAATGACAAAGATGTTTCAAGAAGGCGGTGATCGATGTGTTAAAATCGCTGACAGAAAAAAAAAATCGTTGACAAGTAAAGCAAGATTACAACTGGGAATTAAGCCCAAGGTTAGGCAATAGCAACAGTAACCAGGACAATAGCTGTTTCAACAGTGGTGAGATTGAAAGCCTGACTGGAATAAAGTCACTAGACAGTAAGAGCAGAAGAAATGGAGACTGAAAATGAATACTCTTGTTTTGAATAGCTTTGACAATTTATATCACCACATCTCTATGACCTCCGAGACTAGTAACTAGAGAAGCAAATGAAGTCACAAGAGCGTTATTTATATATTTTTTTTGTATTTTGGGATGGGAGATATTACAATGTACTTGTATACTCACAGCAGTAACTCAAGGAGAAGAGGAAAAACAATCTATGATTCAGGAGATAATTCCTATGTAATATGTCAGACCAAAAAAAAAAAAAATAGAATCCTGAGAACAGCTTCAGAGCACCAATGGTGAGGTGATGAGGGAGATACATCAATCCCAACTTGAGAAACCTACAAAAGAAGCAAAATCTTCAAAGGAGACCAGTACTGAAGAACTGATACTATAATAAGGAAGAGACTGCTAGGCTGAAGAGCTGGGTTTATATGCATTTATATGCACCTTTTCTATTCCATTCAAAGGTGATTCTAAAGGAATGCTTCCTGTGTGGATGGAGGCTTGAAGAGTGCCAAGAATGTACAATCAAAACAGTGGTAACATTGCAAACTTTTCACCTGTATTTGTCTCATTTTGTCCTAAGTAAATACACAGATAATTAATTGTGTTAGAGTAAAAGATGACCAAGCAAAGATAGTAACTTAAGTGATTATCTTCCATGAGATTAGAAATACCAAAGAGTTATCAAGTAAAATAAAAGAGACAGTATAAAAATCAGTGTTTCTTAACCAATAAAGGCTTTCCATGGACTAAAGAATAGTCAGTTCCCAACACAGAATTATCTGAGTTAGATGATATGATGCTAATGCTGAGTGACATCTGTAGATCAGTGGCCTCAAAAGGCAGGATACAGTGTCACTGTGTTGGATTTGTCTTACAATAGGGCAGGAATTCTGGCAAAAGCTTAGGAGGATGACCTTAATGAGCGATCTGATATTTATATAAATTTGAGGAAAACAGAGATAAGTACAAGAGGCTATGGTTAGGACACTTTGTAAAGCTGTTTTGGGGAGCCCTTCTGTCTATCTTGAGATAAATCTGAGCAAAAATGCATCCCAACTTAGGCCAAGATTTCAGACACGAAGGACTTGAAGAGTAGAAGAATCATTCTAGGCACTATTAAAAGACAGTCTCGATGGGGAAAAGGATAGCATCCCAATGCCAAAGACAGAAGCTTTTCCTTATTTAAAGTTTGGCATTTCAAGAAGAACTAAAAGATTTTACTAACTTAGGATAACAATCCTGGCATCCAACTGCCCCACACCATTGTTCTAGGGATTTTCCCTTTAACCTTTTTAAGTTCCAGGTACAAAGATCTTAGAAGGATTCTTGGCTCACCTGGGCTGTGACTAGCATTCTGGGGGAGTGCATTGGTGATATTGGGCAGCTCGTGTCCGTAGTTCCCATCCTCCAAGGGACAGACATCCAGGTCACTCCATTTCTGCAGCTGCTGCAGCCAACAGGATTTTTCCTCCAGTTTGCAGTGTGGATTTAAAATTATGCACACCCATAAAGCCCCTGGAAAATAAAGCAATCCACATTCCTGACATCTTTCTTATGATGTATGAAAGCCTTAATATTTCCACTTTATTTTTAGGTGGTACAGAAAGAGTCCAAATATAAAAACAATTTGCTAAGATTTTTGGAAACAGCTTATTTTTCCATTCATAAGTTTCCTTAAAACAGAATGATTATCAGACATCTGGATATGAGTTCCTGTGATGAGGGACAAGATGGCCTTGGGTTTGAAATCTGAGCTCAAATCTGTAGTTTAGCAAATATTTACTAAGCCTCCTGTAGTCAAAGCCTGGTATAGTTCCTATGTGGATGGGCTGTCTGGTAGGGGAGATGGAAGAATAAATATAATGCTATCTGAATATAGCAAGTGTTAAGGTGAGGATATGTTTAGGATCTAAATATCAGCACAAAGGGAGAGCATTTAGTTCAAGGATGGGACTGTAAGGCAGGTATTCAGAAAATGTTTCATGTTTTGCCTACCTGGAGTTCCCGACTTTCAAATTTGTTAACTTTAAGACTAAGCTAACACTTACTGGCAAACCAGGGTAGGGGCGGTCCTGGTGGGGGTTATTGTGGGTCACTCCAACTAGGCTGCAGCTCCCACTGGTTTAGGTGAGGGCCAAATATGTGCGGGGCAGAACCAGGCTGGACTGCAACACCCATTGGTTCCAGTGGAAGTCGGGAGTGAAAACAGAACCAACCCAGCAATTACAACCACCAGCTGATTGGAGCGATGGACGGTGCCTGGCCCTGTACTTGTTAGCACATACAAGAAGTTTCTTTGGAGATCTTCCTAATCTAAATGCTGGACTCAGAACCCTAACGAAGAAAAGAGAGAAGACAGAACAGGTCAACCAACCATCTCAGCTATGATGGACTATGTCAATCAGTGGATTTTTCAAAGACCTCATAGTGCTTGGAGTGGCGAGATTGACAGCGATTCATAACTGTTGCAACATCAAAACCACTCGAGCAAGAACCTCAGAGCATGCCCTACACCCGGGACTTGGGGAGGGTGGGAAATTGGGTTGGCCTTCTCCCTTAATACCCCCCTTTTAAACATGAAGGTAACAATATGGAAAACATACTAGTATTATCCACTTTCCTGTAGCCCTTGAACCTTCTTACTCTAACTAAGTATGTAAAGAATATAAAAATAAATTATATTTAAAAAAAAAAAAAGACTAAGCTAATGAGGCTGGTACTGTGCAAAGTAAATAAAGCTGTTGTCTGCAGCAGCATCTCACATATGTACCATCTGGAGTTCTGATGGCTCCACTTCTGATACAGCTCCCTACTGAAGCACTGAGATAGTACCAGAAGATGGTCCAAGTGTTTGAGCCCCTGCATCCATGTGGGAGATTCAGAAGAAGCTCCTGGGTCCTGGCTTCAGACTGGTTCAGCTCTAGCTGTTTTGACCATTTGTAGAGTAAACCAGCACATGGAAGATCTGTCTCTTTTCCCTTGTCTCTTCAACTTTTTAAAAATAAATAAATACTATAAAAAGACTTGAGATAATAGGAATACTTATTCTGTAAGGATCCTGTGAAAATTAAATGAAATAACATTTGTAAAGGGTTTAGTTTGTTACCTACTACATAGTAGAATCTTATGTATTTTTTAAAGATTTATTTTTATTGAAAAGTCAGGTATACAAAGAGGAGGAGAGGCAGAGAGAAAAATCTTCCGCCCACTGATTTACTTCCCCCAAGTAGCCACAATGGCTGGAATGAAGCCAGGAGCCAGGAGCTTCTTCCAGGTTTCCCACACAGGTGCAGGGTCCCAAAGCTTTGGGCTGTCCTCAACTGCTTTCCCAGGCCACAAGCAGGGAGTTGGATGGGAAACAAGGCAGCCGGGACACAAACCAGCACCTATATGGGATCCCAGGCGTGCAAGGCGAGGACTTCAGCCACTAGGCCACCATGTGTGGCCCTGAATCTTATTTTCTTTTTCCAAGGGAGAAGACTTAAATTTGAAAACTACTAGCTAACCTGTTTGCCTACTTTCTTGGTGTAGGCATTTGGAGTAGCAGTTAAAATACTAAGTCCCATATTAAGAGTACCAGAGTTAATGGTCCTCCCGGCTCTTGACTCCAGATTCCTGCTAATGTTGACCCTTGGAGGTGGCAATATTACTAGAAGTTCAACGTGGGCAGTGGAGATGTCTCAAGTGAATGGTTTCCTGTTACTTACATGGGAGATTTGGATTAAGTTCCTAGTTCTTGGGTTGGCCTGGTCCACACAGGTCATTGTCAGTATTTGGGGAGTGAAATACCAGATGAGAGTTCTCTTCTTTTGCTTCTCTTAATAATGAACAAAACAAAGCAACAATAATAATAAAAAAAAATCATTAAAAAAAATTGTTGTATGTTGAGTTATGCCAGTTTGTGATGCCAGCATCCCATACTGGAGAGTTAGTCTCCAAAAAGTTTTTCTCCCAAAAGCAGCTTGGGAAGGCAGCAGATGATGGCTCAAGCACTTGGGTTCTTTCTACTCATTTGATGGATCTAGAGTTCTTCGTAAAGATTTATTTTATTTTACTTGAAAGTCAAGAGTTACAGAGAGAGAGAGAGAGACAGACAGACAGAGATAGAGAACTCTTCCATCCATTGGTTCACTCCCCAATGGTCATAATGCCAGAGCTGGGCTGGTCTAACCTGGGAGCCTAGAGTTTCTCCAGGGTCTTCCATGTGAGTGCAGGGGCCCACGGGCTTGGGCCAATCTCCACTGCTTCCCTAGGCCATAAACTGGGAGCCAGTTTTGAAATGCAACAGCTTGGACTTGAATTGGCACCCATAGGAGAGGCCTGTGCCACAGGCAGAGGATTAGCCTGCTACTGTACTCTGCAGGCCCTGAGATCTAGGGTTGGTTCCTGACCCAGCCCTGCCTGTAACAACCGTCTGTGGAATGAACGGATCAGCACATGAAAAGCTCGCTCTTTCCTATTTTGCCTCCACCCACTCCCTGCACACTGACCTCGCTCTCCTAATCTCTTCCATCCTCTATTTCTGACACCATGTTTTTCAAATAAATATACAAATCTTTTTTAAAAAGGCAAAAACCATAACTTCCTTGGAGTTTCTCTGTTACTGTGGCAGAGTATAACATTCCACATAACAAGTGACTACTGGCTTTTTTGATCACCTCACCCTCCTTGTCAAGGAAACCTGCTCTTTTTTTCAAGGCTGGCTGTATGGCTCTGCCAGATAACGATGCAACCTCTAGCTAGCAATAAGAGTGGCCACAGTGCTTAATTTAAACATCCTTTGGGATGGAGCTATATCCAAGGATGGAGGTACACTCAGACACTATTTAAAGTCTCTCAAAGTCAAATAGAGAAGTTTTTTGTTCTGTCTTATTTATTTATTTATTTATTTTTAATCTTTTAAATAGAAAAGTTTTAAAAGGCCATCTTGGTCTCCATTTTAGACACTGAAAATAAAGATTCATTTTTATTGGTTCAGTTCAATTTTATTTTTTCTTTTTTTAAGCAGCTTTTAAAAAATAAAGACTTATGGGCCCGGCAGTGTGGCCTAGTAGCTAAAGTCCTCACCCTGAACAAGCTGGGATCCTATATGGACGCCGGTTCTAATCCCGCAGCTCCACTTCCCATCCAGCTCCCTGCTTGTGGCCTGGGAAAGTAGTTGAGGACGTCCCAATGCTTTGGGCCCCTGCACCCATGCGGGAGACCTGGAGGAGGTTCCTGGCTCCTGGTTTTGGATCGGCACAGCACTGGCCGTTGCGCTCACTTGGGGAGTGAATCATTGGACCGAAGTTTTTCCTCTCTATCTCTCCTCCTCTCTGTATATCTGACTTTGTAATAATAATAAATAAATTTTTTTTTAAATAAAGACTTATTTATTTTTATTGGAAAGTCAGATTTACTGACAACAGAGAGGAAGATCTTCCATCCACTGGCTCGCTTCCCACATAGCCACAATGGCTGGAGCTGAGCTGATCCAAAGCCTGGATCCAGGAGCTTCTTCTGGGTCTCCCATGTGGGTGCAGGGTCCCAAGTCTGTGGGCCATCCTTGATTACTTTCCTAGACCACAAGCAGGGAGCTGGATAGGAAGTTGAGCAGTTGGGATATGAACCGGCACCCATATGGGATCTTGGCGGTATATGCAAGGCGAAGACTTTGGCCATTAGGCTGTGCACTGGGCACTCAGTTCAATTTTCAATATGCACCATGAAAAAGAATTAATACTATGTAATAACTACATTAATGGCTCTTAAGGAGGTTATAGAATTAGTAGCATTTATTTTATAGTTTTTAAATAATTGCACTTATTTATTTGAAAGGTAAAGAGAGAGAGGGAGAGACAGACAGACAGACTATTCTGGTTCACTTCTCAAATGCTCACAGCAGCTAGGCTAAGGCCAGCTTGAAGCTAAGAGCCCAGAATGCAACCCAGGTCTCCCACACGTGGCAGGGACACGAGTACTGAAGCCATTACATTCTGCTTCCCGTGGTGTACATCATCAGGAAGCTGGAATTGGAAGTGGAACTGGGGCTCAAACCCAGGCTCTCTGACAGGATGTGGGTATCCAAAGCAGCATCTTGATCACTATGCCAAACGTCTGCTGCTTATGTTACAGATTTAGAAGTATACTTTTGGAGTTAGCACCATGGCGTAGTAGGTGAGACCTCTGCCTGTGGCACCGACATCCCATACGGGTACCAGTTCATATCCCAGGGCTGTTTCACTTCCAATCTAGATAATCTAGATCTCTGCTTGTGGCCTGGGAAAGCAGTGAAGGATGGCCCAAAGCCTTGGGACCCTGCACCCACTGGGAGACTCAGAAAAAGCTCAGAAAAAGCTGCTGACTTCTGGCCTTGGATAAACCCAACTGGCTATTGTGACCATTTGGAGAAAAAAACAGCAGATGGAAGATCTCAAGATCTATCTGTCTATGTTTCTCTTTATATCTTTGCCTTTCAAATAAAAACAAAATAAATCTTAAAAAAAAAAAGAAGTACACTTTTTATCTATAGTGAAGAAAAAGACTTTCTTTTTTCCCACCCAAGATTTATTTATTTTTTTTTGAAAGGCAGATTATACAGAGTGAAAAAAACACACAGAGAAAGATCTTCTATCTGCTCATTCACTCCTGAAATGGCTACAATGGTTGGATCTGAGTGGTCTGAAACAAGGAGCCAGGAGTTTTTCTGGTCTCCCACATGGCAGCAAGGGTCCAAGGTTTTGGGCTATCCTCCATTGCTTTTCCAGGGATACAAGCAGAGAGATGGATCAGAAGTGAAGCAACCGGGCAATGCTCATATGGTATTCTGGTAGTAGCAGGCAAACAATTAGCATGATACACCATACTGCTGGCCCTGAAAAAGGTTTTTATATTTGCTCTTCCCAAGTAGAAAAGAGGAACAAAAAGAAGCCATTCAATTTGGTAAGCAGATGATCTTTGAAGCAGCAAACATAATAGCATAAGAGGAATAGCAAACAGACTGGGTGAGTTGAGAAAGGTTTAAGAGGTAAAGGAGCAAAATGCTGGAGAAAGTGTTTGGGATAGTGGTTACAATGCCACTTGTGAGACCACATCACATATTAGAGTGTTTGCATTCAAGTCCAAGTTCGACTTCTGACTCGATACTTGGGTCTCTGTTATCCACAAAAGAGCCTGGACTGAATTCCAGGCTCTTGCTTTGATCTGATCCAGCCCCGGCTGTGTGAGTGCTTGAATGAACCAGTAGACAGAAGCTCTCTGTCTCTCTCTTCCTCTCTTTCAAAAAAAAAAAAAAAAAAAAAAAAAAGATAAAAAGGTACCACAAAACAATAAGAAAAAATGATGTTCTAACTCTAGTCTTGTTTCTATTTTCCAATCATGTAGATATTAAAAAAGGGCTACCTAGAAAGCAAGTATAAACAATCTTATCAGTAAGATAAAAATGAGTTTTCTGTGCTATTAATTAGTCCTTATGAATTTGTTTCAAAAACACCCAGAGATGATCACATTTCCAAGATTTTAGAGATTTTTTTATGTTTTTTTTTTTAAATTTTTATTGTGAAGGCAGACATGCAGAGGAGATATGGAGAGAAATATCTTCCATCTTCTAGTTCACTTCCCAAGTAGCCGCAAGAGCCAGAGCTGAGCCAATCCAAAGCCAGGAGCCAGGAGCTTCTTCCAGGTCTCCCACGTGGGTGCATGGTCCCAAGGTCTTGGCCGTCCTCTACTGCTCTCTGATACCACAAGCAGGGGCTGTACGGGAAGTGGAGCTGCTGGGATTAGAACTGGCACCCACATGGGATCCTGGTGCATGCAAGAGAAGGAGCTAGCCTCTAGGCTATGAACTGGGCCCACATTTCCAAGGTTTTAAGCAAAAAAAAAAAAAAATCTTGCCATTGCTTGCAAAGAGCAGCATTCATTGAACTTTGAAAGCATATTTTTTGCAAGTAAAAAAATATCAAGAATGCTAAGCAAAGCTATCTATATATAAATTAAAACTGTACATAATTCTTCTATGTCCAGGACAATAATAGCTATCATTGATTTAGTCTTATCAGTTAAGTATTAGTACTTTATATACATTATCTCATTCATCTCTCCAACTCTAAAGATCAACGAGGCTTGGTTTTGACATAGAAAACAGAACATGGCGACACACGGATGTCTCCTACATTTTCTTCTTGACCAGCTTAATATATCTCTCACCAATGTGTTAGAAATGCAAACTCTCCAGCTCTACTCCAAAGCTACTGACTCACAAATTGTGATCTGGTTAAACAGATACTCCAGGTGACTCTGAGAGATTTGAGTCAGTATCTTAGAATGATGAGGGTTTCCTGGAAGGCTGACGTTTCAACTTCTTAGATATGACAATGTCAGAAGTTTTTCATAATGAACACAAGTATATGACAAAAGCTTTAAACATCCTGGGAGCCACCTCTGTTCACTTATTCTCATCTTCATGACCCAAAGGCCAAGCCCAAATCCATAGCACAATTTGGTGACTGGATATTCTACCTATGAAACTGACTGACTTGATCAAGAAGCCTAACTTGAGTACACACTTAAAAAAACCTAAAAAACAAAGCAAGACAGAATTGAGGAAGCTAATATGTTTGACTTAGAATCACATACACTGGGGTTTCAGTGTTGGAGCTGGTTACCCTAAAGAAAATAATTAACTCTCCTGAGCTTAGTTTCATTTAAAAAACAAAACAAAACAAAACATTTACTTATTTATTTGAAAGGCATAGTTAGAGCAGAAAGACAGAGAGGCTGAGAGAGAGATCAATCTTCCATCTGCTGATTCAGTCCCCAAATGGCTGCAATGGTCAAGGTTGGGCCTTGCTGAAGCTAGGAGCTTGGAGCTTCTCCCAGGTCTCCACATGGGTGCAGTGCCCCAAGCATTTGAACCATTCTCTGCTGCTTACTGGCCATTACCAAGAAGCTGAATCGGAAGCAAGACTGGAAGTGGAACAGCTGGGAGTCAAACCAGTGCCCACAGCGCTGGCCCCCCAGAACTTAGTTTCTCTTCTAAAACTCTGGAGTTGCTAACAAGTAAGGGAGTTCCTGGGGAGGAACCCATGCCTACAAATTCTTTTGAGAAAGGAGTCCAGAAGCGGTTCCTAAGCTTCCATGTTTTGTGTAAAGTGACCTCTGAACACAGTTGTAACTAGTTGGATAAGGAGCTAGAAAGGCATTATTCCTACACTTCAGCATTGGTAGAGATAATCTTCTGCAAGACTTTATTCGGTTATCAAATTTAACCAAATGTGTTTCTTTGTAACAAATACACAAAATATTTCATATGGTTATTATGAGAACTAAATGAAACAATGTTGAGAACAATATTTAATACAAAGACTGGAACATAACACTGAAACATGTAGCTACTCCTTATTATTGACAATTCCAAAGCCTTTAGTGCACCTAAAGACATAAGCACCTAAACCAAAACCCAGGCTCACCACACTCCAAATAATCAAGTCCTCAGGCTCCCATATTAAGACTCTTAAGATCTATGCTTTAGTCTAGGAGAACTCGCTAAAATTCCAAGCTACTGACATCATTTTAGACGAGTGGAAAGTCTGCTGTTGCTTTCTGGAGTGCAGTACACATGGAGAACTTATGATAAAATTTTTAGAATATTAAAAAACATTTTCTGTATAATGCAAAATGGTTGGATGGTGAGTTCAGGGTATGAAAGTGTCTGAGAGTAAGGATAAGAGTTGAGTATTAACGTGTCAAAACTGGCCTTGAACTGGCCTCAGATCAGGAGAATTAACGATCAAAGAGGGCTGTCACAGTGGGGGTAGAATCTAGAACAGAAAGGCAATTCAGGAAGCCACATTTCTAATCTAACCTAAAATGCCTAAGGCTTCCAACCACACTAGTGGTGATGGGAAATAAAAGGTGTGAATGGACACTTGATTGCAACCTAAACGTCAAAGAATCAAATAAAATTTGATTGAATATAGGGAAAGAAAAAAAAAGCCCAGATGTTCTACAGCACATCTGGTAGAGTCAGGAAGTGGTGCCAGTACCACCTTCTCTGCAAAAGAGTTCATTTTGGATTTCTCAGTTGAAATGGTCAATGAAAAGCTACTAATTAGGGATGAACTCAGACTAGTGGAAAGAAGGAAAGTTTGAGATCACCATATAAGTAAGCACTTATGCCAACATAGTTTTTTTTTTTTTTTAAGTTACTAGCGAGTGAGTGCAGAGGAAGAATAGTAGGTCCAAGTCTTGGAAACTGTCATGTGTCTAAGAAATCTGATTAGGAGTCCTAAAGAAGCAAAGACTCAGGGAAAGAAACAAAAATGAGCTGGTGAGTATGTGGAGAGCAAGGCTAGTAGCACACAACAGAAGCCAAGCGAAGGCTCCCAATACCTGGAACAGAATGCTGATGTCCATAACGAAGCACAATGCTGTAGAAGCAACAAGAATGAACTCAGAATTACTCTTCATGGCCCCTGTAGATGCTCAATCTTTCACCAGCTGGATTTAGCAAGATCTATGCTCACTCATGCTGTTGCCTCAGGACAAGCTGGTAAGATGTAGTACTTCCGCGAGAGATGAGGACTTACCTAGCTCATCCCAGAGCTGCCTGCACTTGTCTGTCATGCTTGTTCCTTGTTGTCTCCAAAGAGTGAGTCGTGGGTCAGCCATAAACTGTTCGGTTATAAGTGTCAGCATCCTGGCTCCATTGGAATCTCTCATCCGTAGCATCTCTCGAACCTGACACAAAAGGTGTGGATGAGATTGTTGATTGTACAACGTAAAGGAAGGCGAGGAGGGCTAGGAGAGGAAGCATCTAAGCACAATAGTAAGATACTACTTCATATTCTTAATCAAAAAAGGGCAGATAGTAATAAGTGTTGACCAGTATGTAAAGAAATCAGAACCTGTTGGTGGAAATGTAAAATGATGCAATCGTGTTGGAAAACAGTCTGGTAGCTCTTCAAAAGGTTAAACAGTCATCATACGACTCCACAATTCTCCAAGAGAAAAACATGCACAGGAATATTTATAGGGGACAGTATTGTGCTGCAGCAAGTTAGGCCATTGCCTACGACTGTGGCATTCCACCTCCCCTCTCTGTAAATCTACCTTTCAACTAACTATATTAATCTTTTTTGTTAAATTTTTAAATTTATTTGAAAGCCAGAGTTAGAGAGAGATACAGACAGACAGACAGAGATTGAGAGATTTTTTTCCTTCCACTGCTTCACTCCTCAAATGGCTGAGATAGCCAGGGTTCTGATAGGCCAAAGTCAGGAAGCCAGGGATTCTGGCTTTCCCATGTGGGTGCAGGGGCCCATGCACTTGGGGGATATCTTCTGCTGCTTTCCCATGTCATCAGCAGGGAGCTGGATCAGAAGTGGAGCAGCCAGCTCTTGTAACAGTGCTTTTTATGGAATGTTGACATTGTAGACCGTGGCCTCATCTGCTATGCCACAAAGTTGGTCCCAATAAGTAAATCTTAAAGAATGTTTATAACAGTATTACTCATAACAGTCAAAAGGCAAAAACAACTTAAATGTCCATGAACAGGTGAATGTGGAGTATCCATACAATGGACTAGTATGCAGCCACGAGAATGAATAAAATTACATACAAATTTATGTAATACCACAGATGAACCTTTAGTACCTTATCCTAAATGCAAGCAGCCAGTCAGAAAAGGCTACCAACTACATTATCCCATTCATGCAAAAGTCTAAAATGGAGAAATCCACAGACAGAAAGTAGATGAGTGATTGTTAGGTCCAGGGAGAGGGATGTGATAAAGGATAAAGAAGTGATAGACCTTAAAAGAATATCTTTTTCAGATGATGAAAATGCTCTAAAGTTGATTATGCAGATGGCTGCATATATTTGAATTGTATACCTTAAATATCACTAAATGAGTATTTACTTTAAATGGGTGAATTGTATAGTATTTGAATTATGTCACTAACGATGGTAAGGGGCAGGCAGGAATGTAAGGAAGACTTGTGAGATTGTCTAGTTTCAAAATACTGTCGGGTTAAGGGCACTTTTGAAGTCAGTCCCCATTAGCTGGGTAGCTTTTGCTTCAAAGCAAAGAGAAAGTAGTTTCCTTGCTAACTCTCCCAGCAATGCCAATTTACTTGGAGACCAGAGCAGAAGGAATAGAAGGACTATCAGGTTGAGAGAGCAGGGTTCCCTGGATGCTCTTTCTTCAAGCCAGCTCTGATCAGCTCCTCTCAGCAGGTTTCAAGCACTCAGGGTAATGAGGTTTAGTTAGTATAATGCAATATTGAAAAATTGTGATGACTCCATTTTTTTTGTTTTAAATGTTTTTATCTTTTTTTTTTAAAAAAGATTTATCTTTTTTTATTACAAAGTCAGATATACAGAGAGGAGAGACAGAGAGGAAGATCTTCCGTCCGATGATTCACTCCCAAGTGAGCCCAATGGCCGGTTATGCGCCGATCTGAAGCCGGAAACCAGGAACCTCCTGCAGGTCTCCCACGCGGGTGCAGGGTCCCAAGGCTCTGGGCTGTCCTCAACTGCTTTCCCAGGCCACAAGCAGGGAGCTGGACGGGAAGTGGAACTGCCGGGACCAGAACGGGCGCCCATATGGGATCCCAGTGCATTCAAGGCGAGGACTTTAGCCTCAAGGCCACGCTGCAGGGCCCCGATGACTCCATTTTACTTGAGAAAATTTCTTTTTTTTTTTTAAAGATTTATTTTTATTATTTTTTTATTGGAAAGGCGGATATACAGAGAGGAAGATCTTCCGTCCGAGCCGATACTTATGCCGATCCAAAGCCAGGAGCCTCTTCCGGGTCTCCCAAGCAGGTGCAGGGTCCCAAAGCTTTGGGCCATCCTCGACTGCTTTCCCGGGCCACAGGCAGGGAGCTGGAAGGGAAGCGGGGCTGCTGGGATAGAACCGGCGCCCACATGGGATCCTGGGCGTGCAAGGCGAGGACCTTAACCACTGTGCCACCGCGCCGGGCCTGAGAACATTTCTTAAAAAAAAAATAGCTTTTCACATCTTACCTTGGCAAACATCGAGTTGAGCTGTTTTCCAGAGCCATAGTAACCCCCCTGAGAGAGAAAGAGTTTCACTTGTTCTTTCACCTGTTCTTCGTCCAAATGCCAACAGTTCTCATCATCAATGCTAGCCCCAGCTGTGGGGTCAGGGGCACCTGTGAGAAACAGGAAGTGTATAATGAGTCCTCTGAGTTGTAGGAGCATTTTATGAGAACATACAAATTTACTATAGGCTTATTCTATGTTACTGTGGTTCTCGTCAACTGTGTGGACCTAAGTAAGTATCAAAAATCTAATGCTAACTTCATGTTTACTAAGTCTCAGTTGCATCCTCTCCTGAGGTTGGAAAGAAAAAGCCTAGATGGAAATGCAGCCGTGACAGAGTGAAATATATTTGTCTGTTTGGTCTTTATTTGTCTATTTGGTTTTCTGGCACATGACTCCTAAAATCCTTGAAATCTTCAAACTGATGCATCTTTTTGTTGACTGGCTGGGCACCAGTGCAGGGTTAGAAGCTAGAACTCCTCCACCTGCTGGGGAGAGCAAAGAGACAGAAGGTTAAGCCATTCCCCAATGACCAATGATTTAGTCAACCATTCATAGGTAATGAAGCTTCCATGAAACCCTCAAAGGGAAGGATAAAAGAGAGTAGAACATGCAGGGGTTCTTGGAAGGTGCTATGCCTGGAGAGGACGCAAAAGCTCAATGCCCCTTAACACTTCCTTACTGTGTGTATTTCTTCATCTGCATTCTTTATAAGAACCTTTATGATTAACTGCCAAAAGAAGTAAAATACTATGAGTCATGCCAGCACATTAATCAAACCCAGAGAGCCAGTGTGGGAACCTTGATTTACAGCAGGCTGGTCAGAAGCCTAGATGAAACCATCTGGAGATTGCAACTGGCATCAGATGTTGGTGGTACTGTGGAATTGAGCTCTCAGCCTGGGGTCTGATGCTATCTGCCGGTAGACAGAATCCGAGGTGAATTAGAGGCTATCCAGCTAGTGTCCTCTGTAGAAGTGATTATCCCCTCGGTACATGGGGAAAATCTTCACGTATCTAGTTACAGAAGCATTCTGTGTTATGTTCAGAGAATGCAGTAAGAGAATCTGAGTGTGTCATTCCTCTAAACATTCAGTATACAAAACGAAAATTGTAGTGTATGTATACTTTTTTTGTTAGAAGGATGGCATTTATTTTGTTCTTTTGTATTCTATCGAATTCAAATATGCCTCAAAGTGCACATATTATTATTTTTTAAGAAAAAAAGTTTTTTATTTTTTTAAATTTGGGAAGCAAAGAGACAGACTGAAGGGGGCTCCAATCTGCTAGCTCACCCTTAAACGCTTACAAAATCTAGGTTTGGCCTGTGGCTGAAGCTGAGGGCCCAGAAAGCCATCCAGGTCTTCCACATGGGTAGCAGGAACCCACCCAACTGCTGGAGCCATCACTGCCACCTCTCAGAATCTGCACGGGCAGGAAGCTAGGGTCAGGAGTCAGTGCTGGGAATCAAACCCAGGGATTCCAGGGTGGAATGGAAAAAATTTAGAGGTCTGAGTAGTAGCATAGTGGGTTAAGCCACAACTTGGAATGGTTGTACCCCAAATCAAAATCAAAATCCCAAATGGAATTTGAACACAGGAGTTCAAATTCCAGCTACTCCATACTTCCAATCCAGTTTCCTGTTGAGGCACCATCATGCAGGTAGTGGATGAAAGCCCAGGTACTTGGGTTCCTGCCTGCCAGGTAGGAAACCCTGATGGATTTCCAAGCTCCTGGCTTCAGCAAGCCTAGCCCCAGTTGTGGTGAACATTTGCAGAGTGAGTCAGTGGATAGAATATTTCTGTCTCCTCATTTCTGTTTCTCTAGTGTTCAAATAATTTTAAAATAAAAAAAAAAACCCTTCTTACTACATACAAAAAATATGTTAATCATAAAGCTGCTTCCTAAAGTACAGGCACAGTTGCTTATAGGTGTGTGTGTGTGTGTATATATAAAATATAAAAGAAAGTAAAATATTTGAAGAAAAGTCTTCAGTGATAAAGTGTTTTTACTAAACTAAGTCCAAATACTTCAGTTTAGTATTGAAGGCCCTCAATGTTTAGGCCTTTCTTCTTATTATTTTAAAAAAATAAACAAATATTTATTTGTATTGGGAAGGCAGATTTTCAGAGAGAAGGAGAGATACAGAGAAAGATCCTTCATCTACTAGTTTACTTCCCAAATTACTGTAATGGCTGGAGCTGGGTTGATCTGAAGACAGGAACCAGGAGTTTTTTCCAGGTCTTCTATGTGGGTGCAGGTGCCCAGAAATTTGGGAATTCCTCTAATGCTTTCCCAGGCCGTAAGTAGAGAGGTGGATGGGAAGTGGAGCAGCCAAGACAATGAACCAGCACTCATATGGGATGCGGTGCTTGCAGGGAGAGGATTAGTCAGTTGAGCCACTGTGCCAGTTCCAGGTCCTATCTTTAACTTCTAGCTTTATTTTCTCTTCATTTATACAATATTTCAGCCAGAAATCTGTGTTCCCAACATTAGCCATACTTCCTTATGATGTCTATGGTTTTCCCTTGGCTTCCCTCCTGCTCCCTCTGATCTGTTCTTTGGCTCAAAACCAGTAGTTCTCATTGACAAAACTGCCTCATGCTTACAGTCAGGGCCACATTCTGAACCTGAAATGCCAACATTGCTAAGGTTCAATTAAATGCTTGGTTCACTAGGCAGGAGGGTTTTGCTTTTATCCCCTTGCTGAATGAGCCATATATCATTGTCACCTGCAAAATATCCCCAACTTATGCTGATATGCTCAGCACACAAAGGCAAATATCCTTCAGTTGCATTTTGTTTTCACTGGAATTGTGTGTTTTCATATATTTCCAACTGAACTGAAACTTTTATAAGGATAGGGATTCATTTTTTAGTACCTCAAGTCCCTACTCATTAGAAGAACATGGAGTTAATATTTATAGAAAGAACAATACATGTCTCACTGACCATGTAGATTTAAGTTTTAGGTGGAAAAATACTGTATCTTATCAGAAATATTTACAAAGTTCAGGTGGGAAAACAGAGTGTCCTACCACAAATATTTGCTAATAACTATGTATTGAGTGCTTTCTACAACCTAGAATGCCTTTCACATACACATCTCAGGTAATGTATGCTTTCTGAGGACAGAAACTATTTTCTTTGCTGTTATGTTTGTAAGAAAGTGCCTGGCATGTGACAGATGTTCAGTAAATATTTGTTGAATGGATTCCAAAGAACCTTCCTAACAACTCTATGTGATGGTATATTTAACCTAATTTTAAAATAGAGAAGCTAAAGTTTACACACAGTATTTCAACAGGTAGAAAACTCAGGAGTTGGGCCACTGCCATGGCATAGTAAGTTAAGTCTCTGCCTACAGTGCCGGCATCCTATATGGGTACTGGCTTGCGTTCTTGCTGTTCTGCTTCCCATCCAGCTCCCTGCTGATGTGACTAGGAACACAGCAGAGGATGGTCCAAGTGCTTAGACACCTGCATCAACATGAGAGTGAGAAGCAGCTCCCGGCTCTTGGCTTCAGATTGGCTCAGCTCTGGCCATTGCAGCTATTTGGGGAATGAACCAACAATTTGAAGATCTCTTTTTCTCCTCTCTACAAATCTGTCATTTACATAAAAATAAATAAATCTTTAAAAAAGAATAAATTAGCATTGAGAGTATAAGACCTACCCTGAAAGGATTCTTAACTCTGAGGACTTAATTTTTTCACTCTTAAATACCTTTGTAAAAACCATAAATATAGGGCCTGGCATAATAGCATAGCAGCTAAGGTCCTTGCCTTGAATGTGCCGGGATCTCATATGGGTGCTGGTTCTAATCCTGGTAGCCACACTTTCCAACCAGCTCCCTGCTTGCGGCCTGGGAAAGCAGTCGAGGACAGCCCAAAGTCTTGGGACTCTGCACCCGTGTGGGAGACCTGGAAGAAGCTTCTGTGTTCGATTAGCTCAGCTCCAGCCATTGCAGCCACTTGGGGAGTGAACCATTGGACAGAAGATATTCCTCTCTGTCTCTGCTCCTCTCTGTATATCTGCCTTTCCAATAAAAATAAATAAATATTTTAAAAGTATATGTAATTAATATATTACTTCTATTACATATATACTTATTTTAACAAATACACTAAAGCATAAAAAACCACTTAAAATTCAATCAGTAGAAAATAAATAAATTTTATTCAAATAATTTGAATAAAAATTTAGTCATATTATCATTGTTACTATAGTATATTTTCTTCCATTCTTTCCCCATATATACATATATCCATGTATACGATGCAAAATTTTAAGTTAATATTTTTACTACAATGTAAAGTATAAAATGTGCATAAATATTAAGTATACAGATTAATGAATTATCACATAATGGTTATAACTGTATAATGACCATTCATGTCAAGAAATAGAACGCTACCAGTATTCCATGCCACAATTTTTACAAGGGGGAAATTGGGTTGCTTTAAGAACTCTTGATCATTTGGACAGAATGAACTGAGTGAGGTTAAGTAATTACAACTCAAAAATATCTCAGTCTCTAAACATGCAATAAAGGCACATAAAAGGCAAAATAGAGGGGAAAAGGTTGATTTGCTGAAAGTAGTGGTGAAAAAGACCATTTTTATTGATAAAAATGTGATTCAATTACCGTTCACTTGGTTGATTTCTGAGTTGGAGGACAGAATCTCATCTGCCAGTTTCTGTGCAGTAGGAAGAACTTCAGTGTGGTGTGCTGTGATTAAATACTGAATAAACTTTTGGAGCTGGTCTCTATTCATCTGAAAGAGGGTTTCTGAGATAGGAAGACGCAGTTTGACTTGGTCTGGTTTTCGGATCCTATAGAGTGAGAGTGCTACCACGTGAGCACAGTAGAATATGTCCTTGTTCCCACAGCCACATGTCACTGAAGTGATTTTGCATCGATCAAAACTGATTGCAACTTTGTAAGTCACCGCTGGTTCAGAAGCAGTGGCGGGTTCAGTTACTGTGCCACTCAGATGGAAGCCTAGAGAAACAAAGAAGAAATTGTGTTTACCGATTCAGTAGTTAAAGGGTCACATTTTGCATCTCAGTTCATCAGCCTAAAAACTATTTACTGAGCATCTCCTACACACTGACTGGTCCAGCCATAAACACAAGAGGCAATGAAAATAAGTAGTGCTCTGAAGGAACATACAATCTAGAAAGGGTTCTTAATCCTGAAGTCCATAAACTTTCTCAATTAACCTGAAAACTTTGGTTTGTGTCTTGTTATATTTTTCTAAAGAGGACAGCTTTCATTATAGTCTTAAAAAGATTAATAAGAAACTCCAAGCAAGTTAAGTACTTCTGTAGCAGGTTTTCAGTTTTAGCTGGTAGGCAGACAAGTCCACAAATAACCTTATCAGTACAGTCTAGAATAAGGTGAATTTTGCAAATGGAAAACAAAACAAAAACAAAACAAAAAAAGCAAAACACAAACCAGAAGAATGCATTGAGACAGGATAAAGGAACAACAAAGAGAATCAAGGACAATATTTCTTACTTAAAACATACTCTTCTAAAATGTGACCATGTGGAGCACCCCAAAGACAAGAAACCTTCCAATACACAGACGCAGAGCTTGGTGCAGTGAGACTATATATTGTTTATACTTTAACTCAACCAAGGAATAATAATTTTGAAATGCAAAGAGAATGCATTTTTAAGGTACAACTAAACCAAAAATCCAAATGCAGTCTATATATTATTATTATCATTTTTATTTAAATGATTCTTCTTTGTATTCATCATCATTCAATTATACAACAAAAGTTAAAGGAGACCTGAAGTATTGGACTTCTAGACCTACTAGGATTGCTAATAAAAAAGAGGATGCTGTGACACCTACATCCTGTGCATGTGCTGGTTTGAGTCTCAGCTGTACCACTTTCGATCCAGTTTCCTGTTAATGTGCCTGCCCCTGAACCCAAATGCGAGACCAGAAGAAGCTCCTGGCTTCAGACCAGACCATTCTGGCTTTTGCAGCCATTTGGGGATTTAACCAGAGGATGGGAGATTTCTTTCTGACATTCTGCTTTTCAAATAAATAAATCTTACAATGTTATTTATTCATTTGAAAAGGAGGGAGAAAGTGGGGTGGGGGGAAAGAGATTAATTTCCCTTCTACTGCTTTATTCCCCAAATGCCCACTTGCACCAGCCAAGGCTGAGCCGGGCGGAAGCCAGGAGCCTATAGTTCTGCTGGGGTTGCTTTCTGCTGTTTTCCCCAGGTGTATCAGCGGGGAGCTGGATCAGAAGTGGAACATCTCGGACTTAAACTCACACTCACATGGGAGGTGGCAGCTTAACTTGCTGCACCATGATGTTTTAGCTTCCATATTAAAAAACAAATCACAAAATATTTTATTTATTTATTTAAGAGTCAGAATTTAGAAAGAGCAGTAGAGATACAGATAGAGATAATTAATCTTTCATCTGCTACTTCACTGTCAAGATGGCTGCAATGGCCGGGACTAGGCCAGCTAGAAGTTTCATCAGAGTGTCCCATGTGGGTGGCAGGGACCAAAACACTTGGGCCATCTTCTGCTGCTTTTCTCAGGCCAGTAACAGGAACCTGGATCAGAAGCTGAGTCGTGGACATGAACAGGTGCCCATGTGAGATGGCAATGCTGTTGGCAGAAGCTTTACCTGCTACACTACGAAGCTTGCCCCACAGCTTCCATGCTTTTAAGATGAGACTGGCTTAGACGATCTCTAGAGTTCACTCCAGTGCATGTGCATTACGATTCTAACACTGACCCTCCCACCATGCTTGACACAGAACTTTGCAGATTACAGGTAGTTAACACATGTTGGCTGATGTTACACAGTAAAGCTTCTTCTCCTGGCCTTTGCGAGTGTATCATATGTGTTAGGCTCAATTCTAAGTGCTTTACATGTATTAGTTAATCTAATTTTCAGTTAGGTAGTCACAGAGGGTGTGGTATAATGGTTAGTTGTATGTATCAATTTGACTAGGTTCGAGTTTTAGTTATACAAGCACTAAGCTAGGTGTTGCTGTGCAGCTCTTTTGCCGATGTCCTCTAAGAGACAGTATCCTCCGTCATGTGGGGAGGCCTCATCCAATCAACTGAAAGACCTTATATGGCAAAACTACAGTTTCTGTGAAAAAGAAGAAATTCTGCCTCAAGACAGCAGCATCGGGTCCTGCTTAAAAATTTGTCTCCTGCCCCATAAAAATTTAACTCCTCGCAGTTCTCACAATCATATAGGCTAATTCCCTGAAATAAATTCCCTCTCTCTTTCTGAGGGGACTTTCAAAAGTTTGTGGGAAAACGAAATTTGTAGATGTTTACGCTGTTGCACAAACTTTGAAATCCATGTGCACTTTTTTTGGATGAAGTTTTGAAGAATTCTGGTATGTAAAAGCTTCAAAATCTTTCACACCAAAATAAACTTTATATTTTAGTTCCATTTACCATGAACTTTTTGAAGTACTTTCATATCTACATATACGCGCATGTGTGTGAGTATATGTACGTATTCACTGCTTATGTTTCTCTGGAAAACTCATTTCCATTATATGAGGAAATAAAGCAGCTCAGTAATTTGCTATAGGTCCCTCTGCCAGTAGATGGTAGAGCCAGGATTTATATCCAGGTAGTCTGGCTCTAAAGCTAATACTCTATTCACCACACTGTCTTTATGTTATACAGCAGGTAATACCATATTTAACTAAGTAAATCATAAACTACAAAACATATAACTAAATATATTAGAAAATAACTTTCATGTTTATTATAATTCTAAAATTTCAGTATAAAATTAAAAAAAATTATTTAGGAAATCAGAGTTATAGAGAGAGAGATAAAGAGCAAGTTCCATTCACAGATTCACTCCCAGAAGCTTAATCTGGGTCTCTCACGTGGGCTGCAGGGGCCCCAGGGGCCCAAACACTTGGGCTATTTTTCCCAGGCCATTAATAGAGAGTTGGATTAAAAATATAGCAGCTGGGACAAGAACCAGACCCTATATAACATGCTGGTACCACAATGCTGGCACTAAAATTGCAGTTTTTATAACACTGGTAATAGTTTGAACCATCTAGGTTAGTCTGTTACAGACAAAAATGTCAAGGATCAATTTAGACTCCAGCTTTTTCTCAATTTTAAACAACTGAGAAACCATCTACAGAATATCTTGCAAAAGCTAATAACATTTGGCTTCCTAGGGGCTTCAGCTAAGGTTTATGGCATTTGTGGGCACATGCTAATTTGAACTCTGAATGCTGGGGCCCATCAGCTTTATGTATTAATACTAACTGGGCTCCTTCTTCAGGAGCTTTGACGGTCAATGTTTTAACCCTTTTAGCTAGATATTAAATGTGTCTACTTATATATTTAGTATTATTTAGATATATAAAAATACTAGCATAAAAATACAGTATGCTTGATCCCCTTGTATTCACGACTTCAGCTTCAATGGCTTGCAACACAAAGATCAAATTATTTCATCTGTATCTTTTCATGCCTCACCATAGATTATACTGAAGTAAATCCCAGAAATACTATTTCATTGACAAACACCACTATATGCAATTCCTTCACATCAAATAACTACTGTTTCGCATTTTAGATCTGATCTAATTACAAAAACAAACAAAGCAAACAAACAAAAAAACAAGCAAAACAAAACAAAAAACCCAAACAAGAGATTTACTCAAGTAAGGATGCAAACAAGGCCCAGAGAATTAATTTAGTTGATGCCTCTGTTAAGATACAAGTTTACCTTCTTCTCTGGCACTCCAATTATTTACTGAAAAAAAGTAACAGTTGACTGGGAAGACCTGATCAGACTCAAGACTTTCTGTTGAAATTATTTATTTCACAGCATTCATTGCATAATTCCTTCTGCTTTACATCAGGAGACACACAATGCTTGACTGTTTTCCTCTTGGTACTATTAAGATTGATCAATGGGCTCTATTGTCCTGATGCATATATTAAAAGTTTCTTGTCAGTTTTTCCCTTCATAGTTTTAGAAGTCATCAACGGTCACTGACTATTGGGGTGGTTTTACTTCTTTATTTAAAATTCTGACCCACTTTTCTTGACTCTACAAAACATAATTACTAAAACAAAGGGGAAAAGCATGTAAAGTGGTTAGTTTGCTACTTTAATATGTGAGTTCTAAAAAAAACTGAAAAAAAAAGATAATAATCACAAAAATTACTTTGACTTCTTGTGAAAAACAACTTTGTTATCCTTCATCCACAGTTCTCTAAAATACACACATCCTAAAGCACAAGAAATCCCCCACATATATTGTAAAGTCTTCCTACATATCAAATACTCAAATGCTCAAGAACTGCAGGGTCTGGACAGCCGCTTTTTTGTTGTATCTGTTCACACTTCAAAATTATGGGTGGACAGAAAGGGGAGGAATTGGGCAGGGGTGAAAGGAAGCAACATCCAGTGTTCATTTCAGTAGTGGCTCGAGTGGGCCATCAGAGTCAATACCAGTATTTCCTTCCTCTGTACCAGCTATCTCTTCCCATACAGGACTAAAATAAACAAGCAAAAACTAGCTCAAGTGCTTCACCATTGAGCAGGTCCTGAATAAAGTACCAAGGCTTTTCAAGCAGCTCCTCTTCAGCTTTGCAAGAAGTGTATTTCCAACCACCACCACCCACAACTCTCTCCTAATCCACAATAACAAAGCAAGCCTTGCCTTAAGGAAAGGATGTTTCATTTCCACTTTCTATTCTATGGCTTAAGAGAGCTTTCCTACCTGCTGACCCCTACTCTGTCTAAAAATGTAAGAATAAAATCATATCACAGCTTTTCTCCATTACCTACCACAATAGCTCTGACATTGCCGCAGTCTCTAAAAAAATTGTTAGCCTTCTATTAAACGCCTGCTATGAGCTGATCCCCTAGCAGCATGCCATCCTCTAACTGTGCCTTTCCAAGCTTAAAAAATGCATGGCAAGCGCTATGAGAATCTCAAGATCAGCAAGAAATTGTTAAAAATCCACGAGTTCATGGCTTAAAGAGTTCTAATTTCTCTGCCTTTTAAAACTGAATGGTAGCACACAAAGAAATGGGAATTAATTGAAACTGCTCATTTAATTTTCTTTCCCAACATTAAACTGGAGAATCCACGGCATAGGCTGAACTCTGAACTAAACAGAAGGTACTAAGCTTATTTTCCCATTTGTTCACACACAAACACAAAAATATATAACAATTTAAAAAATGTACTAGAAAGGCAGAGTTACAGGGGCAGGCACTGAGGTGCAGTATGCTAAGCCTCCGTCTATGGTACCAGTATCCTGATGGGCATCAATTTGTGTCCTGGCTTCTACATTCCAGTTCCCTGCTTATGTCCTGAGAAAGCCACAGAGGATGGTCCAAGTCTTTGAGCCACTGCACCCATGTAGGAGACTCAGAAGAAGCTCTTTGCTCCTGGATTTGGATCAGCTCACCCCAACTGCTGAGACCACTTGGGAAGCAAACCAGCAAATGGAAGACCTCTAGTTGTCTCTCCCTCCTCTTTCTGCCTCACCTTCTTCTCTGTAACTCTGTCTTTCAAATAAAAATAGAATAAATTTTTGAAAATAAAAAAGTCAAACTTAGGGAGAGAAAGGCAGAGAGAGAGAGAAGGGAGGGAGAGAGATCATTAATTTGCTGTTTCACTCCAGAAATAGAAAACCAGGAGTCAGGAGCTTTTTCCCGGTCTCCCAGGTGCATGCAGGAGCCTACAGCATCTTCTGTTGCTTTTTCAGGTGCATCAGGGTATGAGTTGCCCCATTCCTAATGGGCAGCCAGGATTTGAATGGGCACCCATAGGGAATACTGACATAACAAGCAGTAGCTTAACCTGATATGCCATGATGCCAAACCTGAAATTCTCTTTTTTAAAGAATGAAATGCAGTGTTCTTCATGGCTAACTCAAAAAATTTTTTAAGATTTATTAATTTTAATTTCAAAGTCAGGTATACAAAGAGGAGGAAAGGCAGAGAGAATGATCTTCCACCCACTGATTCACTTTCCCCAAGTAGCCACAATGGCTGGAATGAAGCCAGGAGCCAGGAACTTCATCCAGGTCTCCCACGTGGGTGCAGGGTCCCAAGGCTTTGGGCCTTCCTCGACTGCTTTCCCAGGCCACAAACAGGGAGCTGGATGGGAAGAGGAGCTGCCAAGATACAAACCGGCACCCATGTGGGATCCCGGAGTGTTCAGGGTGAGGACTTTAGCTGCTAGGCCACCACCCCTGGGCCCTAACTCAAATGTTAATTCAAATACCATCTCCATATGAAATTACCTGGTACTTCAATTGTTGAACAGAATCATATTAAATGAAGAAGACTAAACATTTATACCTATGGAACTTGAATTCTAATATATAAGAGTTTTTAACTAGAATAAGAGATAATCATTTAATGGACAAGAAAGAAGCTCAGAGAAGTTACATGATGGCCAGTTTTACTGCAGAAATTAATATGACCATAGATTTACATTCTGAAACATCTTAGGCTTTGAAAACTAGAAAGAAACCCAACATTTAAAATTGTTGTACTTCCTGAATATAGCCAATTGCTTCTCTTCATCAAAAGAAGGAATAATTTTTAGTTTTTAATAAGCACTATGTACTATGTATGTTTTTACATATATTATGTTATTTAATCCTAATGACAAAATTATATTCAACACTGTTATTATCCTTATTCTGTTGGTAAAGGAATAGAGGTAGGGCTAGGATTTGAACCTAACAGTTATAGACTCAGAGAATAAATTTCTTACAGCTACATTTTATTTCCAAGATAACGTTTCTCTATTTTATTTTTAAAAGATTTATTTATGAAGGACTATATAATTATAATCATATAGGGGAAATCAGTGGGGGGAGCAGACTTGGACAAGGGAGAGGGGAAACCCCAAAGCCTATGCAATTATATCACAAAATTTTTTAAAAAGACAGAATAGGCACTCAATAAAGATTTATGTTTTTTTAGAATTTGTCTTTTATTTGAGAGGCAGCGTCATACAGAAAGAAGGAGAGACAGAGAGAAACTTCCACCTGCTGATTTACTCCTAAAATGGTCCAAATGGTCCAAAGCCAGGAGCCAGGGGCCTCCTCTGGGTTTCCCATTAGGTGCAAGGCCCAAGTACTTGGACCACCCTCTGCTGCTTTCCCAGTTACTTCAGCAGGGAGCGGTATCAGGGGTGGTACAGCCACGACTTGAAGCAGCACCCACATGGGATGCTGGTGCTGCAGGCAGACGCTCAATATGCAACACCACAGCATCGGCCCCTATTTATTTATTTGAAAAACAGAGTGAGACAGATCTCCCATCTATTGGTTTACTGAGAAGCAAACAATAGCTTACAACAGCTGGAGCTGGGCCAGGCTGCATCCAGGAATCCAGAACTCAATCCAGGCCTCTCACAAAAGTGGTCACAGGACCCAAACACTTGGGCCATTACCCAGTGCTTCTCAGGATGCATATTAACATGAAGCCAGATCAAAAGAGAAGACAAAATTTGATCTCAGGCCCACCTTCCATGATAATTTCCAAAAATCAACCTAATTTTTCTAATCAGAGTGATATCTGATATGCTCAAAAACATTGAAAAAAAACCAAAACAAAACCATAAGACACTGGGGCTGACATTGTGATACAGCAGGTTAAATAACGACTCTTCTAATATCAGCATCTCATATTAGAGTGCCAGTTCGAGATTCAGTTGCTGTACTTCCAATCCAGCTCTATGATAATGTACCTGGGAAATATTGGACCCCTATAACCCATGTAGGAGATCCAGATGAAATTCAGGGCTCCTGGTTTTGGCTGAGCCCAGCCTAGGTCATCGTGGCCATTAGGGAAGTGAATCACGAGACAGAAGATCTCTTTCTCTGTCTCTCCCTCTCTGTCAATCTTCTTTTCAAATAAATATTTAAAAATAAAAATTAAGACACTGTTGAATCACTCTAATTCATTTTTAATCTTTTGTTTTCTACTATGATACTCAACTGCTATACTGAGAGAAACAGAACCTGAACAGGAACAAATGGCAGAGAACACACAACATGCAATCTCCCTGGTTAGGTCATGTCTTGACATTCAAAGAGCTAAAATACAGGAAGATAACAACCTAAAAAAAAAAAAAAAAAACCTTTCTAGAGGCAGACACAATAATAGAGGTTTAGGTGGGGCAGAGAGCTTGCATCTGTTGATTCATTTCCCAAACACAGGGGAATTATATCCAGGTCTCCTACTTGGGTTCCAGAAATCCAACCCTTTGAGCCTCTGTACTATCTCCCGGGGTCTTTTATCAGCAGGAAGCTGCAGTCAGAAGGCAATGCAGGCATCAAACCGAGGCATTGTGACATAGGCTGTGGGTATTCTGTCACTGTCCCACCCACCAAGCTAAATGCTATTACCAACTAATAATTTGTTCTCAAAGATTTATTTACTTATTTGAAAAGGTCAAGAGATGAGAGAGAGAGACAAAGAGAATGAATTTTACATTTGATTGCTGGTTCATGAAACCAGGAGCCAGGAACTCCATCTTGGTCTCTCATGTGGGTGGCAGGAATCCAAATATTTGAATTATCATCTATTGTTTCCTATGCGTATTAGTAGGAAGCTGGAATAGAGGTTTGGAGTAGCCAGGACTCAAGTCAGGTATTTCAAGATGGGGTAGGGTGTCCCAACCAGTAGTTTAATCCACTGCATCACAAGGCCTTATTATTTAACATCTACTATGCTTTAGGTCCTGAGGATGCATCTACTGCAAAGATCTAATGATATCTGGTATTATGGAATTTACATTCTAGCTAGGGAAACAGATATTGGACAATAATGTCCACAAACAATTATTTAATTCTAATTGTGATAAGAACCATGAAGGAGAAATGCAGAAAGGTAGGCCTGTAAGAGGAAGCCCCTGATCTGACTCAAAGACAAGTTGGTAAAAATGAATTTCTTGAAGCGCTGGAACTGAATTTTATTGGATGAGTGGGAATTAATTCGATGAAATGATGGGAACTGGCAAAGTAATAGCAAAGGTGCCTCCAGGTAGAGGCCCCAGAGGGGCTGAGACAGAAAGGAACATGGATATTCAAACAGAAAGAAGACCAGTGACTGGAAAGCCAACAAAGGATGCAGTGTCACGCATGAGGCTAGAAAGGTAGACGAAAATCATTGCCCTGGAGTCTTCCTGAATTCCTACTTCTACTTTACTTCCAAACGATCACTAAATCCTGGCAATTCTGCTTCCTGAACATCTAGCCCTCTCCACTACCTCCTCTAACACTGCCTCACGTAGCAGCATAGCACTCTCTTGTCTGGATTAACTAATCTTCCTTCCTCTAAGACTTTTCTCCTCTACTCATCTTCCGTAATATAAGCAGATTGATCTTTCCAAAAGGGCAATAAAATGTTCTTCATACAAAACTATGACCTACTTATCTTCTATTCCTGGTGGCTGACAGAGTCGGGCACAGAACACACATTTGCAAACATGTCTGCTGAACTCAAACTGCTTAAAAATCTTTAAGTGGTTCCCCACTGATCATAGGATAAAGTTCAAACTTTGCACAATGGGGCTTCTTTCCATCTCTTCAGACTGTGCCCTCACTACTTCTCAACACATTTAAGACTCTAAACTACTTTCAGTTTCTCAACAATGGTACATGTTCTCCATTGTCCTAGCATCCATGCCTGTGCATGTGACATTCCCTATCCCAGGCAAGGCCTTCTCACCTTCTTCTCATCCCTAATTCTCAGCTCATATGACACTTGCTCTGAGAAGTCTTCTTTAATCTCTCTAAAGAACAGTTAAGTGCTTCTTTCTAAACTCTCATTTTTCACTAGTCATTTTTCTATAATTACACTTGACAGCAATATAATTAGTAGTTTTGATATTTGTCTTGTAAACTCCTAGAAAGCATGAGTTATGTCTCGTTCATCTCTTTTTCATTAGTCATATCGTAAGAGTTTAATAAGTGTTAATGGATAATGAATAAATGAACACTAAACTGAGTCCTTAATTTACATATTTATCATTATTATTCATAGATTAAGAATGTTTATAAGATTCCTGACTTCATGATTAAAATGAAATAGGCCAATAATGTAAACAACTTTACTTGGATAGTGAATAGTGAGCAAGGTAATAATAATTTACAAGCTAATAATATCAAAGCACTATTTCATAGAATTATCATTAATGCTTACAATGGATGGCTGTTGTTTCTGCCAATTTTTGTAATGCATATTTAAAAATATAAAATGAGGCATTTTATTAACATCTACTGGTTACTTAGTATATGCCAGTGTTGTAGGTACTTTCTAGGTATTAGCTAATTACAGAAGCTCCACAAGGCAGCTTCTTCTGCTGTTTCCCATTTTCAGGTAAGAAAACTGAGGTCCAGACAGGTAAAATAAGTTGTGTCAGATCATACAACCTGGGATTCAAACCAAGGTATTCTCTAGTGCCTGTACACTTAACTAGCATATCAAATATTCCAATGAAGCTATGTTTACAAAACTTCATGAATGCAAGTGGCAAGTACAATTCTACAAAGGCAGAATCTTGTATTAATGACAATTAAGTAAACTGACACTTGCCTGGTTTCCTGGGAAACTGTTCAAGGCAACTGAAATTCACAAGAGCTCTGTAATGCTCTCACAGTTGGAATGAAGATGGGCTCGTGAACTCATCTGTACCAGACAATGTCTCAGCACAGTGAGTGAATCATCTGCTCCCAGTTCTAAAGGAAAGCACTTCTCACCAGCCCTCTGACACCATTCAAAGGCTTTTGTGTTTTTGAGTGCACGGAAGGCTCTAGAAAGTCTAAAGCAATTAAAACCACTTTGCTCATTGCTCTTTTGATTCATCAGGTCCTCAGGCAGGTGCTAATGCATGAAAATGAATGTCATTTCAGCCAATGGCAGGGAAAAGAATAGCTGAGGTTTTTCTTATATCCACTTTAAACATATGAAACACACACACATGTGCATACAAATGCAAATATATGATGAATTAAGTAGCTCCTTGGGAAGAGAATCCTTCCTCTTAAATAAATTTGATTTTGATGAGATTACACAATGTACAGACCTTCTCAAGGGATATCTCCTGGAAGGTCATGGTAGTATACCAAGCAGAAAAGACAGCTGTCATGCCTCACCTTTCTGTCACCCAGCAAAACAGAAGGCAAGAGACGGTTTAAAACTGAGTGGAATCTACAAAATAACTCATTTTCTTTTCAGAAAGCTTTTCTTCAAATCTGGGTAGCTACTCCTTACACAGGAGCACTCAAGTGGCTTGGTGGACTAACACTGTGATATAAAGAGATCAGGAGTTGCAATTCCAATATCCCTCAATTCCTCTTTGCCTCAGTTTCTTAATTATGCAAATGAATATAATAATAACACTTATCTGCCTATCAGACTCCTGTGAGAGTAATTTGTAAAGAATGCATTTTCCAAAGCTATCATTCAGCAGCAATTCCAACTGGCCAGGCCTATAGAAGTTCCCAAGAAGCAGATGGTGCCTGCACACTTGAGTGAGGGTGCAAGAAACTGCAAACTGGGGAGTAGTATTGTTATTTGGGAATGTAAGTGATGCTGCCCATTACCCTGAGAGCTACTTGGTTTGTTTGTGTTAGAGAGGTCATCCTAAGCTTCTCAGAGCAGCTGAGTAAGCTGGAGGGCCCTTCTTGCGGCCATCTGCTCCCTTCCCAGACTCCTGTGGCAAATCAAGAGCTTTTCCTTGTGTTAACCTCTGCCGAGCAGCCATGGCCCCTCTCAGCACCAGCTTCAGCACACAGGGGTTCCTGCTCTCCATCTGTGCCAGCAACTACGGCTAAATAACAAGGTTTCCCAAGCCCAGGCATTCATGTGCTGAGATTACTTTGCATTGCCTAGATTTTCAATATTCTTTGCCTTGGATCGCTATAAAGGAATTAGATGTATATTTTAAAAATCGGCAATTTTGTTATTTTTAGACATATCTAGATGAGAAAAATGCAATGGGAATAATTTGGAAAATTTACTTAAAAATATAACATCCATAAAGCATAATTACTTTAAAAAAAGATTTCATTTTTGTGATAACTCCTCTATGGTACTTAAGATTTACAAAACAAGCTATTTTACATATTGATAGATAACTGCAGATTAGATGCCTCATCTTCAGGTTACAAATTGTGCGCAGGTTGAAAGAAAAACATAACACAGCTCAAGAAGATCTCTGTAGAAACAGCGTACACATATGCAAAGTACATATACTGCCAGAATGGATGTTTCAGGCTACCACCTATAACCTGAGTTATTTATTGAAATGGAGAAAGATCAACATATACTTTGTAAAATACAGCTTTATTTAGCAGCTTACCTCAGAGGGACTAGGTTAAAAACTAACAATGAGGGCCCGGAGTGATAGCCTAGCCCCTGAAGTCCTCGACTTGAACACACCAGGATCACAGTAGGGAGCTGGTTCTAATCCCAGTAGCCCTGCTTCCTTTCTAGCTCCCTGTTTGTAGCCTAGAAAAGCAGTCAAGGCTGGCCCAAAGCTTTGGGATCCTGAACCTGCGTGGGAGACCTGGAAGAAGCTCCAGGCTCCTGTCTTAGGATTAGCTCAGCTCCATCCGTTGCGGTCACCTGGGGAGTGAACCATTGGACAGAAGATCTTCCTTTCTGTCTCTCCTCCTCTCTGTATATCTGCCTTTCCAACAAAAATAAATAACTCTTAAAAAAGAAACCCTAACAATGAACTGCTTTTCAAAATGAAAATGATATGTGTAACTATATTTAGTTAACCACAATACCGAGTGATTTTTTTTTGTGGGACTTAAAAATAGCATTCAGCCAATCATTTTCTTTGCTGTATAGAAGCTTCTCAGCCTCATGTACTCCCATTTGTTTATTTTGGCTTTGACTACCTGTGCTTTTGGTGACTTTTCTAAAAGGTCTGTTCCAATTCCTATGCCTTGAAAAGTGCTTCCTATGCTTTTCTATAATAGTTTGAGGGTTTCTGGGTACAGATTTAGATCTTAGATTCATTTAGAGCTGACTTTTTGCATAAGGTGACAAGTGAAGGTCTTGCTTCTTCTGCAGACTGCTAGCCAATGTCCCAACAGCATTTGTTGAATAGACCAGGCTTTTCCCTTGGAATAGTTTTAGTTCTCTTGTCGAAGAGAATGAAAAATGTTCAACTGTACATGCGTGGGTTTCCTTCTGGTGTTTCTACTCTGTTCCAATGAACTTCTTCTCTGTTTCTGTACCAGTACCAGTCTGTTTTAATGACCACTGTTCTGTAGTATGTCTTGAGGTCTGGAATTGTGATTCCTCCAGCTTGATTTTTATTCTGAGGATAGCTTTGGCTATTTGTGGTCTCATGTGTTTCCAGATGAACCTTTGTATCATCTTTTCTATTTCTTTTTTTTTTTTAAAGATTTATTTTTATTTTTTTTTATTGGAAAGGCGGATACACAGAGAGGAGAGACAGAGAGGAAGATCTTCTGTCCGATGATTCACTCCCCAAGTGAGCGCAACAGCCGATGCTATGCCGGTCCGAAGCCAGGAGACTCTTCCGGGTCTCCTACGTAGGTGCAGGGTCCCAAAGCCTTGGGCCGTCCTCGACTGCTTTCCCGGGCCACAGGCAGGGAGCTGGAAGGGAAGCGGGGTTGCCGGGATAGAACCAGCGCCCATATGGGATCCCGGGCGTGCAAGGCGAGGACTTAACCACTTGCGCCACCACGCCGAGCCCCTGCATCTTTTCTATTTCTGAGAAAAATGTTGGGATTTTGATTAGATTGTACTGAATCTGTATATTACTCTTGGTAATATGAACATTTTGATGATGTGGTTCCTGCTGAGCCAGGACACTGATCAGTTTCTCCACCTTTTAATGTCTTCTCCTATTTCCTTTTTAAAAAAATGCTTTGTAATTTTCATTATAGAGGTCTTCCACATCTTTGGTTAGGTTAATTTTAAGGTATTTGATATTCTTCTCTGCTATTTTAAAGGGGACTGTACTTAAAATTTTATTTTTTATTTGTTTATACTAGTTCCATCATTTTATGTTCATTAATTTTGTATCACTCTACCCTGCCAAAGTTCCAATAGTCTCTTGATTGAATTTTCTGGTTTTCTTACGTAGAGAATCATGTCATCTGCAAGCAGGGATAATTTTAATTCCTCAGTTCCAATATGAATTCATTTAATTTATTTTTCTTGCCTAATAGCCTTTACAAGAACTTCTAATACTATACTGAATAGCAGTGGAGAAAGTAGACGTCTGTGTCTAGCTCCAGATTTTAGTGGAAAACCTTCCAATTTTCCCTATTTAGTATGATGTTGGCATTGGGCTTTTCATATATTGGTTTGATTGTTTTATAGAATGTTCCTTCTATGCCTGTCTTGCTTAAGGTTTTTTTTTTTTTTTTTTTTTTTACTACTTAGAAGCTAGTTTATTATGTTAAGAGGTGGGTTTCTGTTGCCATAATTTGAAATTATTTTTTTAATTGTTATTAACATTGTATTATATGATACAGTTTTATAGGCACTGGGGATTCCCCCCACCCCTCCCACAACCCTCCTCCCATAGTGGATTCCTCCACCTTGCTGCATAACCTCAGTTCAAGTTCAGTTGAGATTCCTTCATTGCAAGCATATACCTAGCATAAAGTCCAGCATCTTATTGTCCAGATAAGTTCAGTGGCCTCTTGGGGAGACCTTCTCTGGTCTGAAGGTAGAGCTAACAGAGTAAAGTTCTGGTCAGTTAAAAGCCCCAACAAAA